TTGCCTCTTTTCAGTCAGGGTCTGCTAAAGCTTCCTTAGCACTTTTCGGTATATTTTCGAGAACTTCTCCAAAAAATAATTCATCACCTACACTTTCTCCTTCGTCACTTTCTATCTTTTTCTCAAAGTAGAACTTAGATTCGTCAAAACTAACGTTTCTAGACTTTTGCACTTTGAGTTTTCCTTCACTCTCAATTCCTATCAGATAAGCTTTACTATTTTCCGATGTCCCCAGAAAAATTCCACTTCTAGAGTTTTTGTCTAGTTTTTTGCGAAACTGTTTTTCCACAAAACTATACGCTACACACCCGAAAGTTTTCACAAAATTAAGATAGGGTTTTTTTTCATACATTGACTCGTAGGGTGTTTTGCCTATAGCAGAAGGAAAACACATATTTTTGAGATTAGCAGCCATACTAAGAGGATAAGGCCAATAAGTTTTATATTCGCATCAAAAATCATGCAGCGAGCCATTGGAGTAATTGTTCCCCACAACCTTTCTATCTTTCCGTACTCTTGAGGGGTATAAGGAGCCGACGTTTCCAGTCTTATTTTTTGTTTCCTACAACCTCGCCTAAAATCTTGACCAATGTACTCTCCTGTGCCGTCTGAAACTAAAGTCTGAGGGACTCCTATGTCTGCAATGAACCTTTCCAACTTTTCTGTTGCCTCATCTCTCGTCTTCATGAAATAAATTTTCAGATATCTAGAAAAACTGTCCGCAAAACCTATAGCATATCTATGTCCATCCTCTGCTAGCGGGTCGATAGGACCTAAAATATCTGTGTGAACAAATTCTAGTGTCATGGTTGCCCTGGTATAAAAAGTTTTCGGGACTGGCTTCTTTTTTGCTTTATTCAACTCACAAGTTTTACAATTCTCAATTTTAAAGTCATTAATCTTCATGTTTTCAACATGTTGCTCCAAATGACTTAAATCTTTGTAGTTATTATGACCCATCCTGCAATGCCACTGTTTCAATGTGCTTACTACATAACACTCGTCTTTTCCTACAAAAGTTTCCCATAAAAAGAGACCATTTTCCTCTCTTAATGGGTAAATTGATCTATTTCCCTGGCGAACAAACGAGCTCGCACCAAAAACAACTTCTGCTCCTGCTTTCTTCATTTTTGATACACTCATAAATTTCTTGAGTTTTCAGGAACGTACAAAGTATACTTCAGCTCAATCATCTTAAACTCGCCTTTCTCATCTTTCACTCTGAATCTAACTTCACCTTTCCCTAAAATTTTTGATTCACGGAAATTTGCATTGCTAACCGATCCTTTGAAGTTCTCATCTAAACTAACAATTATGTCTCGATCCTTAATCATATTACTGGTAGCTCCAGAGTCTACAACTAAATCCTCGCCCGGAGACACTCCGCTCAGGAAACTAAAATGAGCCTCTGTTTCAGCTACTAGATTCTGCTGTTCTTGTTTAGTCTTACTAATGAACTTTTTCTTTGCTTGGCAATACTTTGCAATATGTCCAAACTCCTTGCACTCATAGCACTGAATTTCTCGTGCTCTATCTTCACTATCTCGTCTGCTGCTTAAGTTTTATCTGCACAGTTTCGACACATGTCCTCTTTAATGACACTTGAAACAAACTCTGTTCTCGCTATTAAATGCATGCTCTTTTTCGATTACTTGTCTCTCGCTATCAAAATTCACTAAATCTCTTTTTAACTCATCTAAACTTTTCTCATCTCTACTAAACTTAGCTATAGTAGAAAAAGTTTCAAATTGTTTTGGAAGTCCTTTCAAAATAATTGAAATTAACATTTTTTCACTCACTCCTTCGTTCACTTGTTCTAAGTTATACTGAATCTCCCCTGCTCTAGTCATAAAATCTATCACTGTTTCATTGCTATTCTTTTTCAAAGTTGTAAGTTCGGAGATTAGTTTTTGCAGCCTGGGTCATTCAAAACTCTTAAACTTTTTCCGTAAAACAACCCAAGCTTTGCTACCATTGCCTTTATTAGGTCTTAAAAACAGAACTGATTTCTTATCTAGAGCCTGCACAAGTTCGTACCAGATATGCAACTGTTTTTCTTCAAAAACCTCTTTTCTTTTATCTATCGCAGCTTGTTTTCGATCACTGCTTGCATTCGGTCCTAAACTTGGCATAAAATTTCTATAATCAACTGTCTCATCTAAAATCCTTAACTTCAAGTGAAAAATTCGTGCCTCGAATTGCTCTTCAAAGATGGAAAAATCTTCTTCTTTTCCCGAAAAAACTTTCCTATCAGTTTTTGACATTTCTTTACTAATCCAAGTTCTTATTTTTGACTTAATTCTCACACAAAAAATAAGCTTCAATCCAAAACTCAAAAAATTAAGTATTGCCCTAGGTAAAGTTCAATGACCCCGTTTTCTCTTACATCAAAATCATACTTATAATATACATCAATATCGCCCCCTTATATAACTATGCAAGTATATTTGATTACCAAAATCTGATTTGGAACCTAACAGAGTGCGTACTGAATAACACATCAGCGACTTAGCAAAGCTAAGGTCCCTCCTCAGATTTCATATTAGGTAATATATATATTAGCAAAATAGAAATTCGTCTTTTTATTCTGGGGTATCAGTTTCTTTTTTTAAAAATTGCAATGTATTCTTTGGATTGATTTTGTGTCGGATTCGAGCAACCGCGTACAAACGAAGTTATCCTTCCGCAAAATTTGAGTATAAATCAGCAACTTTTACAAATAAAACATGTAATTTATTAGTTTGATTCAGTTTTTTTTCACTATCAATAGTGTAGTGCTTCTTCCACTGCTGTGCTCACTCAGTGCCCCTTCGTGCTTTTGACTGTCTTCTCTTCTTCTCTGTTGTGTTTCCCTGCTTCTATCGTCAGAGTTGTCTATCTCTAGAAGTTGTGTTGCCCTGCTTCTGTCGTCAGAGTTGCCTGTCTCTACTAGTTGTGTTGCCCTTCTTCTATCTTTGCACTTCTCTGTCTGATCAATCGTCTATATCCAAGTAGTTTTGGCCTGCTTCTCTCGCAGTTGTCTAACTGATCAGTTGTATATTTCAAGTTGTGATTTTTACTGTCACAACTCCACTGCAAATCTCAGCTTTTTTCCTTATTCGTTTGAACAAACAGTCAATCTTGACTCCTGACTTCTCACTCGTGATTGGGCATCTGGGCCCATAACCTATCAAGGTTATTGCAGCGACAAACAGTTGATTAATAAGGAGTGAATTAATGAGATTTGAGTGATAATTCCAGTAGCAAATCAGATCAAATATATATGGTAAATCACCCACACAAAGTTGCTCGAACCAATGACTAAAGGTCATGTTTCGCCAGCTAATTTTAACAAAAATCGGGAAGTGATCTTTCAGTTTGAACTGAATAAGAAGGATCAATTCCAGTTCAGGTAGGAAAAATCACCAATACAAGTTACCTCTCGGCCAAGTGGAAACAATCCTGCAAACCGTTAAGCTCCAATAAGAAAAAAGTAGAAAAGCAAGTTGAATTTGTAGGAAGCGTTTTTACGGGAAAAATGCTTTGTTAACAATTACAGAACACTTGCTCTCGCAAGTATTAAAATAATTCGTATTATCTGAGCAAAAATCAAATTTTTAGACTAGGAGAAGTCAAATCTATAGAAAAATATATTCAACCGAAAAACTTTATTTTTTAAAACTGTTTTATGAAAAAAATAAATTGATACCTAAAAAAACTGGATAACTAATTAAAACATTTCTTTCTTCTCTTTCTCGAATTTCAAAGAAAAAAAAGATGGCCCTAAAGCTCTTTGAATTTCTAGAACAAGGTATGACTGGAATTTTTTCGACAAAACTGACCCAATTTCAGAAAACTGAATCAATAGGTATAATTTCTATTTCGCTAAGTATTTAAAAAATAAAATCCTGTTTCGAAATAAGAAGTTGACCATACTTTTCGTGAACTTCACATTTTTGCTGTTCGATAGTGGAGTTTGCCTTCTTTTTAGCAAAGAAAATAAACTGAACTTGAAAAAAACCGCAAAAAATTAAAATTTTATCCTGATCAAATGTTACGACTTTTCCGCAAAGAAAATCATCGCGACCTATAAAAGAGTCTGAACGTTTTGCGCTATTAACAGTTTTATCATTGAAGAGCATAGTTTGCGTTCCCATCAAGGAAGAAATTAAATTGAACTTATAACATAGGCGAAGCGAAGCTTCGCGTCATTTGCAGTATCACAAAAAGAGCGCTGCAAGCTAGAGAACAGGTAAGGAAAGGAGAGCCACTAAGCCTTTTTTTAAACTTCAAAATCTTGTCTGGAATGATAATTTATTTGCAAACAGTACGTCTATTAACGCATTCGATAGCGTTTAATGAAATTTCAACAATAATTATCGAGCGAAAATAAAATTGTTGTCAGAAAAACATTGAACTATAAATTCGACTCTGTGCGATCTGTGAGAAAGCATACAAATTATGGTTTCCCCAAACGACCCAAAACCAGGTTAGTAGGCCGATAAAATTATAAGCCGAAAACCCTTAGGCCGAATAAAGCTTCTAAATGAAAAAAAAAAAAATATATACTAAGCCAACATATAGAAACTTTTGTTAAATTACAAACAGCAGACTTTAAATTTAAATAACTAAAAGAAATTACGATGTAAATTGTGTACAGCAAAAAATTCTTTGTGGCAATTAAGCCGACAGAACATAAGCAGACAAATCATTGGCCGACAATTCCTTTGAAACGGAATTTTCCCGTTAGAAAAAAAAAACAGATCCTCGTCAGATTCGAATGGGGACCTTTGCCGTCCCATAGGTAATTCTTACGACAGACTAACTAAGCCGAAGTTGCTTAGAATTTTGAATTCGATATGAACCAAGATAAGGGTGATTCTGTTAAACAAGTTGTTAACCCGAAAAAGTCTATTCCTATTTGATAACGCTTGCTTGTCGCAAGCGTAAAAAAACACCGGTTTAGAAGCTGCTTTCATATGCTGATCTTAAACAGAAAACTCAGATTTTGATTGCTATAATTCAATTCTCAGCACTTGATTGTTAATTTACAAATTTTCATCTAGCAAATTTGATGAAGCGTTTACAAAATAGAAATAGAATCACAAGTAGAAGAAATTAATTTCAAATAAAACTTTTGCCCTGTTAACAACCAGCTTAGTCGATCTGATTTTATTATCTAATTCATGATATCTCTCAACCTGATTGCTTGTTTAACACGTAAGCTGCATTTCGCGTACATCACGGAAAAAAACGACGAATAACTCAAAAATTATTTAATGGTTAATTTGAAAATGCTCTGGAAGTCTCACCCAAAAAAAAAGAGAATCAATATTACGAGAATCAATCTTCAGGCCTCACATATCAGAGTAATTAAGAACCGGGCCAATTTGCCAGTTATCATTCTCTACCCAAAAATAAAACGGTGCAATAAATACACGTTCAATTATCCGATATAAATGATATGCTCTATTTAACAATACAAAGATTGTTCACAGACACGTGGCCTTTGGATTGAAAAAGTTGACTCGCACTCTAACATAACCTCCGCTCTTGTTAACAGTCCATTAATCCTTTATGCATCCCTACCCCCATTTTATTATTAACGATAGATCTAGATTAACTTAGGTCATTACTAGCACGGATATTAATCTAGTACGAATACGAACAAAGCCGCTATTTACAGCAACGAAGATTTTACTTTACAAATAGGTTTTTAATTGAATTTAGTCATTAAGGTTTGAACTTGAGTTTCTTTGTGAGTGTCGATGATATCCAGGGTACCTGTTTTTTCTTGTGCATTCCCTCTCTCTGGGGAACATTGGAGCGGAAATTGACCAGATCGTGGCTAACGAGGGTGATGATTGTGCTAAGATCGAGATTCTGCAAGTTTCCATTTTGGTACAATCTGTAGGCGAGAAGTTGCATGAAGTAAGATCCACTTTCAGGGCTACGCCACGAGTAGTAACTGCAACATAAAATAAGCATCGAAACCATAAAATTACACAAAGGCGAAGTGGAACCACTTTTGAGCAGCTTTTTTTTGCAATTTAACAAGAGGGTGGGAAGCTGGAACTTCGCACTACCTGGGATTTATAACACAAAAACTTCTATCCATGTTTTGTGATAATGAAACAAAAGATCATTCTAGTCCCAAAAATACATTACTTCTATGAAAATATAATCTGACGAAAACACAAATTGCTAAGTGCATTGCATATTAAACAATAAAAAAAATTACAGAACAGTCAATAAAAAATTATCAAGTAGGATAAAGGATAGCTCGCAAAACTTCCAAAAGTAGATTTTCCTTTTTTCCAGACAATTTACAAAAGGCTTTCTTGCTCTTATATGTAAAAGAACGGTTTTTAGTCACTTACAATAAATTTTAGACTGTCCTGCGCATGAATTTTCAGCAATCATCTTTTTTGGTGCGGCTGCCTTGAAGTAACATTATAAATTACGTCGTATACTGAAATTGACAACAAAAAAAAAGCGTTTTTAAGTTCTATTTCGCTGTAAATTTTGATAATTAAAATCCATTTTCAAAACTACATGTCGATCACTATTTTCGCCCTTGCACTTTTGCATTACGATGAAGGAGATGAACTGGAAATGAACAAAGGAAATGAACTGAACTTCAAAAAAATCAAAAATATAACTTCGAAAAATCAAAATTGAGCAGCGTGAACAAAATTGAGCGTGAACATATCCTGAAAAAATAGACGAAAAAAATCATCACGACTATATATAAGAGTATAAGAGTCGAAACTTACTTCGTCGACTCTTATAACAAATGGCATCTGTAAAAATACATGAACCTCTGTCTTTTAGCAGACAAGGCAACACAAAGGCCTTTAAGTAGACAACACAGCAAAGGCAACATTCAGTTGGAAAAATCCAAAAACTCAACTAAACTTTCACAAAAATTGTACATATCGGAGACTTTCCAAGAACAAAAACAAGTCTGGCCTTAAGACTCTTCAAATTTAAAAACCTTTTACAAAGAAATTTTCTTAATAAAATAACGCAATTTGAGAAAACTGCATTACACTACAACTTTATCTTCCTCTGAAACCTCATTTTTGAAATAAAAACATTCACGTTATTTCGCAACATTTTCAAATTTGTTAAGGGAGAGCATAGTTTACCTAGTAGCAGGCTGATGAATGTGAAAAGAAATTTAAAAGAAATGGAAGTGATGATGATGATGATGATCGTCTGATTTATCCACTTCTTTTGGGACTAAGATGTGTTACTTCAGACCTCAACCAGGCTATTTTTTCTTATAAAATCTAGTATACACTATCAACCGCGTCAAAAGACGAACTATGGTCACTGTCACATTTTCCGTATGCAACCATCAACCGGGTCAAGTTAAAATTCGAAGAAAAACGTTAAGAAATAAAAGCTGCATTAAATTCTGCATCATCTGAACTTCTCCTTTCCCCCTTATCCCCTTTTGGTGAGTAATTCTAAAAATGAGGGCCAGTTCTCGTAAATCCGAAAAATTTGTATGAAGCCCATCCATCCAAAAATTGTGCCTGTATCTTATGATCACATATATGGGAACATTCAACTCTTTAGCGACATCAACATAACATTGGTTTAATCTTCAGATGGTTTTGCTTTTCTTTTTTCGTCCAACCAACTTAATGATTCCCACATTGAAACCGTCAAACTTTAGCATTTGAACCAGATAGAACATTTCATCCGATGTTTCCACCGGTCCCATTAATCTGGCACCTGCTTTATCATAAAGGTTATTAGTGCCACCCATTATGATTAAGTTCCTCGCATTCCAATCCTTCAGTTCTGTCGAGAAGGTAAAACGATCGTCGAGCAATTGTTAATTCCGAGATAGATATACAGTAACTTAATCTTGCAAAGTTAGCATCAAGAGTGGTTAGAAACAATATCCAAGGGTGACAGACTGTTCCAAGGACAAACACCTGCTAATCAATTAGTCTAGCACCAAGAGTGAACATTTGATTGACAGCTTTGGAAATGAACTAAATTACTCAATACGACACTTCTCCTTCGATAATGAAAACTTTAGTTAAGTAGAAATAATTTCGCAGGTTTACTTTAATGACTGAAAATAGATGGTTAGAAAAATAGGTGGTTGATTGATCACAGATAGTTGAAACGAATTACTAGCTTCATGTTACAGTATACAATTCAGAATTTAACTAATGACGACTTTTTGTTAATAACGAAAGAATCACTTGTTAGTGATAGCGATTGAGTTTTAAGCCAGTAGTGACTCACCCTCTCCCTGGGTTAGAACAGTTTAACAAAGTTTGAAGTTTCTAGGTTCGACGATCAATTTTTTCCTTCCTTGTCCTGATTGATAAAGTCAATCATTACGCCCCCCATTTTGGTGACCGCAGTTCTTTTCCGCCCGCTTCGTCTAGACGTTGTGGATGATGTCTCGTCCTGGCTTTCCCCCTGGCTACTGTATGAGACCAGCCTTGCTTTCCTGGATGAAACTCCCTTTTTCTTGCCGGTGGTGGTCGGTTTTGTTGAGTCTTGCACCCCTGGATTCTCCGTTACTGGCACCCCTGGATTTGGAGCATCCAACTCACCGCCTAGTGCCGGGATGGTGTCCTGGTCGGTTTCAGCTTCGGCCTCTGGTATTGCTGTTGCTGAGCGTTCTATCCGTGGTTCAGAGGTGGTAGTTTCTTGCTGCCGAGTACGTTTTACCGAGATAATCGGTAGATCCTCGCTGTCCTCTGATTCAGAGTAATTTTCTTCGAATCGGCGCCCGGTCCTTTCCCGTTTCTTTTCCCCAATTCGCTTGGTCCATCGTTCCTTCACTTCGCGCGGAGTTGGCGGTGGTAGTGTTGTTTGAGTTGCCCGTTTTTTCGCTTCGTTCACTGGTACCGGTAGTACGGATTTGGCTGCGGTTTTTGATTTCTTCTTTGGTATGGTCTTCGCGGCCACTCCCGATTTCCTAAGCACAACCCCATTATCTAACGTCAGTGTATGTGTACTCTCAGATCTAATTTTAGAATGAATTTGTCTATACCTTCTTAGGTTTTTGTTTCCAGTGCGCTGAAACAACGATCCGGATGGTCCCGGTTGTCCTGCGGGATCTGAACTTCTGCGTATCGACGGTTCGTCGTCCTGATTTTCAGCTTGATCCACAGTAAGGCGTCGTGCATGGGTCCTGTTTTGAATATCATAGTCGAGGTCTGATCGCACACTCCAGTTTGTGTCGGCTGGATGGGGCATATCTTGCACACTAGGATCGGTGTTATCTAAACAAGCATTTTTCGTTTTTATTACCCGTGACCAATCCAGATTCTGCAGCGATGGTTTTTTAGTAAGATTCCGTAAAACTGTGTTTGCTTCTCTACCATGATGAGCTTCAAAAGGCGAAATTCTAAGTGTTGAGTTTTTCGAGAATCTGAGAGCACCAAGGGCCCGTTCGACCATTTTCTCCAAGGGTTCAGGATTTTTTTCGTGAGCGAAAGTAAGGATTGAATTCTTAAGACTTCCAATAGTACGCTCGACACACCCGGTTGCCCGATGGTCGTTTACTGGTGATTTAATGATTTCAATGCCTTCCCCATTACAAAAAGCTTTGACCGCATTTGACAAGAAATTAGTTCCCTGATCGATGTGGATTTTCCGTGGCACCCCGTGGTTTGATATATAACTCTTCAAGAATTTCAATATTTTGTCCGAACGATTATTTCCACAGATCATTGCCGATGGCCAACGAGAGAACCGGTCGACCGCTACGAGCACATATTTAGAGGATTCATTTAAGTAATTGATGGGGCCCCAAAAATCTAATTGGACAGATTCATTCGGTTCTTTTGGTTCTGGTACAGATCCCAGTTGATTTTTACCTATTAACGTCTTTAAGTTCTTACCGGCTGCAGTACATTCAGGGCACCCCTCTGCAATGGAGGCTATTGAACGGTAGATGTAGGGATACCAGACATCCTTTGCGGCATCGAACATATTTGACTTCCCGTGATGGTACGCGTGTATTCGGTTATTGATTGCTGACTGGAGGTTAATTGGGATTGCTAATTTATCGTCCATCCAAACTACATTTTCCTTCACTGAGAAATCATTGACGAATTGAGCATGATAGCGGCTCATTCGAGTAACTTTTTCATGAATATCCGGGTCTTGTGTAATAATGAGATCGCGAATAGCGCTCAGTTGGGGATCCGATACATAATTTGATTCTATGAATTTTAAATTAAACAGGTCAGGTAATGCAGTAGTTTTGTTAACGATCTTACGATTTCGCGGGATAATTGACATACATACAAGGTTTGGGTCCACTGGTGGTACTGTTTCTCCTTTGAATTCCGAGGGTAACGAGAGAGTTGTATTTGTGCGTATTGATCTTGTCTCTCTGGTAATGGCTTCTAGTGATACATTTGGGGGCAATTCTTCGATTTCGTCGCTACTACTATTTAGGCTTGGATGCTGTTTGAGAAATTTCTGCCATTTGCGCATGCTTCGGTCCATGTTGATATGTGGTTTAAGATTTTGAGGGCTGGATGTAAAAATATTTTGATTTTGAAGATTGGATTTGGATAATTTTGAACAACTGTGTTCTGAATGAATAATAGCCCCAACTAACCCAGTGCGCATTTCGCTTAGCCGTCGGCTTAAACCACGTGGTTTCTTCTGATTGGTTGATTTCCGCTTACATGTTTTTCCGCCCTCTACCGAGTCGTTATGTGACGAAACTTCCAGTCTATTTATAGAAAGCTTTCTATTCGCTGTATAAATTTGTCCCTTGGATGTAGTAGGTCCCCTGGATGTATTAAAGCCAAGCGCGTTGCGAATTAGGTTGATCTTTGCCACCGTGAACATATTATCATACGCACTAATTGGCGTTGCTTCTTTACTTGGATGACGTGATAAATAGTCCGCCAAACCAATTTTAGCCCCCGGTTTATGCTCAATTTGAAAATCAAAGGGAATTAGTCGATC